GGAATCGACACTTTGCTCAGCATGATACGGCACATTCAACTTGGCACGCGTCATCACTGCTATGCCACAGGACACCGCGCCATCATGTCAAGTTCAACTTCAAGGTCAGGCATTGGAGCTCAAGGGGTGCGTACAGGGCGCACAGGACGTGTAGGTCGTGTAGGAGGCAGTCGCTCAGAGGCTTTTGCATAACACTCAATTTTACTCACTTCTCATTTTACCAAGTTCCTTTCAAGCAGCAACCATCTTAACAGGTTATGAGTGCCAATACCAACATCACGACCGCCTTTACAACCAAGCTCTGCAAGTTCGACGGAGCGGGCTACCGCGTCTGGGCGCGACAGCTTCAGCTGTACCTGGAAGTGAAGGACGTCTGGGGCGTGGTGCTGAAACCAGCACCAACGTCGCTGCAAGTCCAAAATGAGGAGGCCGGCCAAGCTGATCGCCCGTTACAGCAACGAGAACGCCCGCTGCACCAGCTTCAGCTGTAGCAAAAGCTCGCAATGGCCATCATTCTGTCGGCTCACGCGGAAGATCAAGCTGCGTTGGTCGCAGACTTGCAGCACCCGCAGGACATGCTGAAGGCGCTGCAGAAGTCGCACCGCCACGTGTGTGACACGACTGTCGGTGTTCTAAAGAGGTGATACATGTCGCTCTATATTGACGTCGGCGGGGACATGCTGAAGCACATCAAGCAAACTCGTTTGATGCTCGCCGAACTGGAGTGTTACAAGGTGTCGCTCACAGAAGCTGAGAAGAAGAGCAACTTCCTGCAAAGTCTCGGTCCTGATTGAAATGGCTACATCGGGTCATTGGAAGTCTGTTCGACGATGGAGGAGCTTCTTATCAAAGCGGCAGCTGAGGCCAGACGTCGTACAACTCAGAATCAGCGCGGAAAGCGTGGGAGTACACAGGCTATACGGAGTGGCAGTGCCTTCACGGCTGCCATGCATGGCAAACAACAAGCGAAAAAGGGAAAGTGCTACAATTGCGGCAAGCGCGGCCACTTCAAGAGCGAGTTCAGATCGAAGAAGCGTTTTGGAAAAGCCTTTGGCGGTGCTGAATCCAGCCGAGGTAGCGCTGGAGGTGCGGAGAGCGGCTTCGTAATCAACGTAAGCATCTCGGAGCCAGTGGGAGCTGAGTGGATCATTGACTCTGGTGCGTCGAGTCACATGACTGGGACGCGTGGTCTGCTATTAAATCTGAGCAAGATGGCTGAGGATGTCGTCGTCACGACGGCTAGTGTATGAAGCGGAACGCGACTCATCGAGGAGAATCTTACTTGCCGCTTGCTACCGGCGGAACCTGCACGCTGGATGGGGTTCTTTATGTTCCTGGGCTCCAGCGCAACCTCGTCAGTCTTAGCAGGGTCAGGACTGCAGGTCTTACGGCCATGTTCGGTCAAGAGCAGTGTGTGATTACCAGCGGCCATGCTAAACTGGTGGCAAATCGACGCAGCAGTGGGCTATACGTCGTTACCGCTCCGGACGTTAGCAATTACGAGGAAGTTGGCTACGCATCTGGTGGTCACCAAGACGATTTGGCTCTTTGGCACGCAAGACTGGGACACTTGAACAGCCAAGATCTGATGAAGGTGCTGGAAGCTGGTGGTGTGACAGCTCGCAACAAACAGTTGCTCCCCTGTAGTGCGTGTGCGTCTGGGAAGCTGGCCAGTCTACCTTTTTCAGCGAAGAAGCCGCGAGAGCTCAAGCGGGGACAGGTACTCATCGCCATCGACTATGTGGGCCCGATGGAAACGGCGTCACGTGACGGCTACACTGGCCTCGTGAGTATGATGGTTGAGCCCCACCACTTAGCGGCGGTTATTCTCGTCAAAGACAAGAGCTCGGCGACCCAACTGCGTGCGCTGCGTGAATGCATCGCCAATCTCAAGGTTGCGGTTCCAAAGGCTAGAGTCTGTGTGCTGAAGAGTGATAATGCTGCGGAGTATGTCGGTGGGGAGATTGCCGAGTTCTGCAACGAGAACATGATCGCGCAGGAGTTCAGCACGCCGTATCCGCAGCAAAACGACAAGGTTGAAAGAAGCAATCGCGTAGTGATTGAAATGGCGAGGGCTATGCTTCAGGTTGAATGTTTGGAGAAGCGGTTTTGGAGCGCAGCGAAATTCGAAACCGGTGCCCGTCCAAGGTACTCGGAGGAAATACGCCTTTAGAGGCATTGACAGGTCAAGCTCTAGAGCTCAACAAGCTTCGAGTCCATAGTTATGATGCTGAAGTGCTGCTCTCCAAGTCACAGATGCAGAAGATGGACGCTAAGACAGCAAAGGGGGTGTTCATCGGGTACGAGAAGAGCGGAGGGTATCGCTTTTGGGTACCGAGCGGTCATGGAGGCTGGGGTCACGTTGTTACTTCTCTAACGGCAGTGTTCTTCGAGTCGAGAATCCCAAAAGTAATGGCAATCACTCTGGACGGAGAGCTACCATCGTTGGCCGAATCTCAACCAATTGATGAAGCTACGTCAGGACTGGGCAGTATTCAGGAAGACATTGCGATGGAGCCGGCCGAGGGCAACCCACCTACGAGCGTCGATGAGGTGAGGGAGCGCCTCTATGTTGAACCCCGTGCTGAGAAGCAGCTCGTTCGTCGCAGTACCCGCATTAAGAATAAAAGCGTTCGAAGACTCGCGTTTGAGGAGTCGCACAACGCGGAGGAAACGCCGCTAATCAGTGAACTCAGTGATCCAGTTACGCTGCAAGAAGCCATGTCTCGTCCTGATGCAGAACAGTGGCGTCAAGCAATGAACGCGGAGCTGGACAGTTTGCGTCGTAACGGCACCTACGAAGAGATGTTCCGACCACCCAAAGTTCGCCCTGTGCAGACCAAGTGGGTTTTCCGTCGCAAAACACTGGCAGACGGATCACTGGACAGGTACAAGGCGCGGCTTGTGGCCAAGGGCTTCACGCAATAGTATGGAGTGGACTACACCGAGACATTCAGCCCTGCTGTTCGCCATGACTCAATTCGAGCGATCCTCGCTCTTGCTGTTCAATTGGGCTGGGAACATCGCCAACTCGATTTACAGACTGCGCTCCTGAACAGTGAGCTGTTGGAAGAAATATTTGTTACACCGCCGACTGAGGACGAAGACAACAAGGTATGGAAACTGCTGTACGGGCTTAAGCAGGCGTCGAGAGCCTGGTATCAGACTGTGACCAAGTTCCTGTGCGAATGTGGATTCATGCAGTGTCAGTTCGACTTCTGCGCTTTGGTTAAACGCACTGTTGACAGCATTGTTGCTCTTCTTCTGTACGTAGACGACATGCTGATATTCAGTGACGTAGCGTCGGAGCTGGACGCGTTTCAAGAAAACATTACCCGTCGATTTGCCATCAACGAATGTGATGACTCGAGAAGCTTCGTTGGTATGGAGCTACACTGGAGCAAGACGGGTGAAATACTGGCGAATACGCAACAGAAGTATATCAAATCGGTTCTCAAACGATTTGGTATCAGTCGTGACCAAGTGCAGCCTCGCACTCCAATGGACGTGGATTTCCAGCGCCAAGTGATCGAAGACGTTGCAATGATCGATCTGTCGTTTCGTCCTGTCATCGGATCATTACTCTACGCGTCGACGGTGTCTCGTCCTGACCTCGCAACGGCTGTCCGCCTTATTGCTCAAGAAGCGAAAAAGCCAACACGTGCAGTGGAGAGCGAAGTTGGGCGTGTACTTGGATATCTCAAGCGCACAGCCAACATGGGACTCGAGTATCGTCAATCTGGTACAAACAAACTACAGCTTGACGTCTACTGCGATGCTGCTTTTGCGTGCGAGAAGGAACGCAAGTCATCTACAGGGTTTGTCGTGTTCCTCTATGGGTGCTGTGTAGCGTGGGGCTCAAAGCGGCAGCCGATTGTGACGCTGTCGACTACTGAATCGGAGCATGTGGTTCTGACGCATGGAATTAAGGAGTGTATTGGACTCAAGCAGTTGCTTCTTGAGCTGGGATACGATGTCGGCAAGGTACTAGTTCGTGAAGACAACCAGGCAGCTCAGCACATTGCAGAAGGCAAGGGAGTCTCGCAACGCTCGCGTCACATTGATCTTCGCTACCACTGGGTGCGCGAACAAGTGCAGCGAGATGTCATTCAGATTTGCTACTGTGCTACGGCGGTCATGGTGGCGGACTTATTCACGAAACCGTTGGCCCAACCCAAGTTCAGCGCGTTCGTCACGCGGCTCGGTAGGTGCCGAGTGGGAGTGTTGGAATCGACACTTTGCTCAGCATGATACGGCACATTCAACTTGGCACGCGTCATCACTGCTATACCACAGGACACCGCGCCATCATGTCAAGTTCAACTTCAAGATCAGGCACTGGAGCTCAAGGGGTGCGTACAGGGCGCACAGGACGTGTAGGTCGTGTAGGAGGCAGTCGCTCAGAGGCTTTTGCATAACACTCAATTTTACTCACTTCTCACTTTACCAAGTTCCTCTCAAGCAGCAACCAACTTAACACTCGGTATGATAGGGCTTAAGGTAGAAGCAGGCGATCTGCTTCGGCGTGAACTTGCTCTTCGAGCGTGGCGTGGCGAAAAAGGCATCAGACATTACGGTTGCGGTTAAGGTAGGTTGCTAAATTTGCAAATTGCAGATTGAGCATGAAAACGAGCTACAGAACTACTAGAACTCAGAACCAACCACCTAACCTCTGGTTCCAGTTGCCTGAGCAAAATACCGAAATAGATTATGTATGGCAAAAAAAATAAAAAAAATATTAAAAGTAATTTTTTGGGCTCCCAAATAAATCAGAGAAAACTACGAGTGTTTTAGTTTTCGACCCTGAGCCCAATTTCATCCCGTAGATCGCTTTTTACAATAATTTCTCATCAATTGAAGCATACTATTTAATTATGCAGTATCGCAGAAATCAGGGCCTTTCAGTATTAATAGGTTCTTTTTGCAGTACATTGGCGAAACACGACAGCAACTGTATTTGCCGAATCTAGCTTGGGCCAGAGAAGAATAACCCAAAAAATGGCAACATATTCGTTGTTCATCTGTACTTCCAGTATTGACAAGAACCAACGTGCAATGACACAACTGCTCCACTTAGTTCCGTAGAGTCAACTCACAGTGTGGGCTTAACCTCAACTTCGATGTGGTGAGGTGCAATCTTCGCGTCATCCAGAATCATGATCCGCTCGCGATCTTCTTCACTGCACACAGCAGGCGTACGCAGCTTGGCCGAGTACACACAGGTGCTGGGCTCTTCAATTTCGGACAGATGCATGGGCTCTGGACCGCATTCCATCGTGATCGTCAGCGATCGGTTGGGGCCATTCCAGCACTTCTGGCCGTTCGAGAACTTGATCTCCTTCACCGTCAGCGTAGAGTCTTCACCCTCAGTCGACTCGGAGCTCTTGATGTCCTCCATATCGCCCAGTTTGGTGTGGTCCTGTGTGGCTTTACCGAAGAAGCAAACCTTGTACGTGTATTGTCCCGCCTCAGACTCGACGCACTTGTCACGCAGAGCAAAGAACACGTGATCCTCGCCGTAGTTCTTCTCCAGACGTTTCTGAGTCTCAGACAGCTTCTTCTCCTCCTCTGTCAGCTCCTTCTTCGTGTCCTCATGCTGCTTCCGAGTCAACACTGCTTGGACCCACTCGTACCGCTCACTTGCAGCCAGATCTTCATACAGCAAGTCAATGGGACGAGTCTCCACCTCTGGCAGCGTCAGATCTTCCTCCTGCGTCGATGCAGTCTCCACTGTCTCCCCATCTTCGGCAGCTTCAGCCTGCGTCTTCTTCTCTTCGCGCTCTTCAATCAATTTTTCAATGCGACGTGTCTCCTTCTCACGCGCATCGTCACGTTCCTTGAATGCCTCGTCCTTTTCCTCCGTCACAGTCTTCGCCAGCTCTTCCTCGCCTTCGTGAGCTATCTCGCGCTCCTTCCGGACAATCGGCAGCAGCTCGTGCTTCGCCGAGACGCCATTACGTCCGATCTCCAGGATAATTGACAATAACTGCTCTTTTGACAGATCCAGTAGTCCCAATTGCGCCAGAATCTCGTTCTTACTAGCAGCTATACGCTTGACCTTCTCCTGTGCCTCCTGTCTCTCCTCCTCCGCCTTCCTCGCTTCTAGCTGCTCCACCATAACCTTCAACGACGACGCTGACGTCTCAAGCTGCTTCTTCTTCTCTTGTTCCTCGTCCCAAAGCTTCTGAGCCTCTGCGGCCAGAGTGACGCGGTCCTTCAGACCCGCGTCCACCTGCTCGATCAGGTCTTTTTTGTCCGCTTTGAACGCCTCCATCTTCTCGGCGCATTGTGAGGCGCAGGATACACCACTCGCGAACTCGTCCGATCCGTCGCAGCAGTCACAGATGCCGTCATTGACGCGTGACGTCGGCACGTCGGTCGAGAAGAAGCCGGCGTTCACACAGTGGAAGACTGCAGCAGTATGCGAGCACGCCGACGTGCCCGGCTCGTCGCTACCGTCCATACAGTCGCAATAGTTGTCATTCAGACGTGAGAGCTCTAGCCGTTGCTGGCTATTGTCACAAGTGAACTAAATGACAAAAGGAATCAGAATTTGGCGGTGGATTTTGAAGGAATGATGGCGCTGACGTACGCTAGAGACGGCGGTGAGCTTGTGCTGCAACTCGGGGGAGATGCCGCGCCAGTCGGAGGCGTGCGCACATGCGGAGAGCAACGCTAGCGTCGCCGCGAGTCGCTGGAGAACCATAAGATGACGTGTCAGCACGAAGGATACTGCAATACACATGCCGCATTCTTATCTTTGAGCAACTTAATGTTTTAGAAATGCAACTTACGTCACACAGGCAACTTTATTTTTGCAACGTCAAAATACTTGAGCCTTTTTCTCTTGCACGTACAGGCCCATGGTTAACAAGTTTGGGAGCACTTGGCGGGGCAGTTGCATCACTGAAGGGGTCAGAGTACCTGTATCTGGCCAGCATGATTTTGCAGTGCCTAATCGTGTAATGGCTACATGTATCTGTAGACGAACCCAACGCCGATGCCACTCCACACCTCGTCGAATGTTGTAGACGGCAGCGATAAGCTTATGTTTAATTAAATGATATGTAGTTGTGCTGCGGTCTAATGCTGATTGTCTTGGTCAGTCAGCTCGGTGTCATCTACGACTAAATACTTAAAAACTGGTTGCCTACTACTATCTATCTCCGCGCGTACGTCATTTTGCCTCGCTTACAACATAATGGCTGACGTACGCACGCCGTGTTCCTAGAAAAACTCTGCGTCCGACACATTTGGGTACTCGATCTTCGCGCCGCCCGGATCTGGGTCTGAATCGGGAGAAGCCGCAGCGGCGCCGCGCCTTCAAACGTTGACAAACGACGGCGCGCGGAACAACTGCGGCGAACTGCAGTGTGAGACCGGAATGGCGTCGTTCTGCTCCTCGTCGCTGCTGAAGAGAAGCGCTTCGAGAATTTCCAGATCGTTCTGGTCGAACAGCGGCAAGTTCGGCGTCGATCTCGACTGCTGTTGCTGTCTCGGCATCTCCATCCACTGGAACGTCTGCATCGGCATGCCCAGCATCATGTTGGGCGGTGACATGGGCTTGCCACCGACTGGACTACGCATGGCACCGACGGGACTACGCTGCATCCTGTTGCTGTATCGGAAGTTCTGTCCTGCAGCCATAGCGGCCGGCGAATAGCTGCGTGGCCGGTGCATCTGTTGCTGCGCCTGGAGTGCCTGCATCTGTTGCGCCTGTTGCTGTCGCTGGAGTTCTTTCTGTTGCTGCTTCAAGACGCGACGCCGGTGATCCAAGCGCATTTGGTTGCGGTTAGCCTTCTCGCGATGCATGGCGCAGAACTTGTGCAGACCGCCACTCTTCTTGTGCGTGCGCTGGTTCTCGCAGCGCTTGCTCGAGTATTGGCAGCGCAGTTCCTCTGGTACATCAGCTGTAGGTGTGTGCTTGTTGTTGAGCTCCGCAAACGAAGCCTTGGTAAAGTCCACTGCGAGCTGATCAGTCATGTTACGTTGGTTCTCTTTCTCTTCAGTTGTCTTTCGGTGCGAGCTGTCGCTGGCACTGAGCAAATTAAGTTGTGAGCTGACGAGTTCGGTGCCTCCTCAGCCGGGGCGTAGGACAAGCACTAACCGTAAACACCGAATGGCTGAACTCGTCATGGCTCGAGTGGAGGAAGACGCATACTAGGCGGAACGCCATAACGTCAATGGCAGTGGAAATCCAGCGCGAATATTTCGCCTCGAAAGATCTAGGTTTGAAGGAGCTTTCCCGCTATATGACTGGCTAGAATTTGCTCACATTCACTCCTGTAGTGGACATGAATGATGCTCTTCCATTTTGGACCAATCCGGACTGTGGAAAGTTTTGTGAAACGTCTGGAATTTTCGTCGTGTGCGCCACACCATTCCCCTTGAGAAACTTCGAGACGTTCCCCATCTTCCGCCCCTGTCGCACTGGTCACGCCGTGCACGCAAACGGCAACGCTTACAGCTATTTCAGAGCCAGACGTATGGGGAGCGGATACTAGCTGCGTGGGTGGAATGTTGGTGGGTAGCTCCAAAATTTTAGTATGGAGTTGATGCCACGACAAAATACACCGGATCAAATATCGAGGCGAGATTTCACCGCACGTCAAATGTTGCAATAAATCCTTCCAACTTTATCCAACATTTGTTTCAGGAGGTGTGGTACCTCGCACTTCTTTGGTGTTTGCATTCTGCATGTCTCAGCGTCAAGGAATTATTTGGTCTCATAGGTTTTGGTAGTGGATTTCCATGTGACCAGAGGAGACCGGAATAATTCAATATGGGTCCCCTTTCATTAACTGTTGATACTGTGCGGCACCGCCCACCACTGAGTGGCCACAAACCATCATGGCAGACAAGCCGTTGCACAAGTACAGTCATTGTAACAGCGTTGTCGAGTCGGAGTATCTAAAGCCATTTTGTCCAAAGAGAGTTGTGGAGCCCAACGACAGCTGCCGGTGGAATTATTGCTCTCGTTGGCAGAGCGGCAGTGCGTTATTTGTGATGATATGATGTAGCTAGGAACAATCCCAGCGCGTAGTTATTAATAAAGCAGAACCAAATCAAGCTTCTTTCGTGAATTCACAGTGCAGCGTAACATTCATTGCTACTGACGGTTTTCCGCTGAGCGTGCACATGAATCGACATCAAGCCGGTGTCAAAGCTGAAGTATCCGATGTCAGTGGACATGGGTCAGCAGTGTTTCGATATAAGCGGATGAAGCCTCACAGTCTCCTTTGAACGTCTTCACGCTAGAAGTATCCAAAGCCTACAAGTGCACTGGAGTGGCGGAATTTTTGTTGGGCAAGTCGCAGACACCGCGAGCCTGTGGGTAGTGGACTTTGAACTCAGCAATAAGACAACATATTCTTAATGGAAACCGTCGATTGGCGTCGATCACAAACGAACCTTGGTGAGCGTGGCCATAAGCTGTTTGTTGCTTCGATGAAGGCACCGGGATTCATATTTATAAGACGCAGCCAACCATGCGTATCGAACAACGTTCATGTCAGACAATTGCGGACATCCGCTGTATTATCATCGTCTTAATATAAAACATGTATGCAAAATCTCTGTGTAGCCCCGAAGAGCAGTGCAGTGCAGTACTCCGGGTGTACTTGTGTTTGTCGCGGAACTAATTTACTCTATGAAGCGCAGAACAAATGGACGGTGGCAGTCGGTGTCGATGCCCTACAGTGACATGTTGCCTGACTGCATGCCCGGTGCCGGGTAAGCGTTCATGGGCATATTCATCGGGAAATCGGCCAAGAATGCAGCGCTCTCACCGTCGCAGTCCTCGTCGTCAAAGAGCATAGCCTCCAGCATCATCACTTCCTCTTGTGAGAGGTTGCAGATCGGCTCCTTTGGCTCCATCATGTTGGTGACAGCGTTGTACTCCATAGGGGCCTGAGCAGCATCCATGAAGCGTTTCTTGCGCTCCACCATTTGCTGACGAATGAGACGGCGTTTCTGCTGCATGCGCTGCTGGTTCACATTGGCTTTCTTTCGGTGGAAGTCGCAAAGTTTGTGCAAATCCCCGTTGTCCTTCACGGCGCGGTGGTTGTTACAAAGCTTGCTCGGGTACGAGCAGCGCACTTCTGTTGGCAGTATCTGGGCATTAGCCGAAGCGGCGGCGGGTGTGGCACTGTTGTTGATGGTCGACATGGCTGTTTGTGTATGTGTAGGAGTAACTAAACGCTCGTCGATGGCGCTCGTTCGTTTGGTAAATGCGTGGTAGGAGGCAAATTGAATAATGGGGATCGCTTCGGACGTCAATCCTGTCTTATTGATCTGGGTGCTATGCCGGCCGAGTCGCTTACTTGCAACATGGAGCCAAGCCGGCCACACAGCGCCCACCGCTACTACACCAAGAGTAATGACGATGCATCGATCGAGACGCTGGGCTACCTCAAGCCCAAACGTACTCTACTGAACCGTTGGTGCGGGCTACCGGGACAGTCAAGTTGCCGTTCAGATCACTTCTAGCTCGCTTTGGACTACCTTCATGTTATAATAGTCACTGATGGGCTGAAAAGCCGGTCCGTTCTTGAGGACAGTCGAAATGCCTTGTGAAGGCGACACCTTCTAAATAGAAGCTGCTACGGTGTAACACAGATTGTCTCGCTTGCTCCATTGTAGCTACTCACGGCGGAGTGGATGGAGCGAGTTGGCAAGTGCTCAGCACCCTGGCAGGCAGACACGCATACGCGACAAAAGGTTGTGCCGTCCAGCAATACCCTCAAGGCCTTCTTCCAGGGGGCAGAATCTTGCTCATATTCTCGCTGGTGCTTGTCACCCACCGATGGTCCGGCTCACTCTGGTACGAGGGACTTGCTAGTATTATTTTTTAGATGCATAACAAGATCGCCGCATACTTAAGTAACCGGTACGACAGTTTGTTTGATCTACATGTAATCTACGTGGTGTAGAACCTAGAGCACTACCGCCTTCGCCATGTGGAAGCGAGCATGACGGACTAGACCATAAGTGAAAGCCACAGCGACAACTGTATGGGTGTTGATACTACAGTTGCCACTATGCTGGCGGCTTCCAAGACGCAGTTGTGAAAGGCGTCAGGGGCTTCAGGCAATGTCAGCCAGGGACCACCAGCTTAAGGGAGGGGTGACGCAGTGGATCTCGTTGGCTCAACGAATAGCGGGAGGGGTGAGATCACTTCTAGCTTAACAAGTTCTATTGTAGAAATCGTCAATCATGACACCCGTCCTTGGATCGATAAAATTGGACCCATTTTGTCAGCCCACGTGCTGTTTGTTGCTCTGTCTTGAAGACAAGCTAGCGCTCATCCTTTCGTGAGCCGCAGCGTGTTCATAGAGTATGGGCCCAGCCGGGTAAGTGCGCCAGCGGCAACTTGGCTACCAGCAACTACTAGTACTTCCATGTTTTCAAATTTGCCGTTGTTCCTGTCAGCCGTTTTGTCACCTCAATGCGAAAGCTGCACACTGTTACTCCTCTGCAGAGTGGCACATATAGTATCCGGTTGAGTGTGCACGGCTCTAGCGGGCATCCTTCGATGTCCGTCAAAGCTTATCGTTGACACCGTTGTCAAAATTGAAATTGCTCACGACTCGCCGATCGCCAACTTCGCTCAGTATGTGTGAGCCATGCAAATCTAGCATTATGTAAATACCCCCCCCCCGTCTGGAAAGGGTCAGCAGTGTTCATTGTGCATACCTCCGTCGCCAACTGCACGCTGTTAATATTCGTACAAACAGCGTACGTTGCCAGCCTATCCCAGGTCATTATGGCCACACCAAGCTGATCTGGAACAAACTCGGTGCAGAGCCACTTGTTGCCTGTTACCAGGGGGTTCGAAAAGTCCTTGTGAGGCATTCGCAACCGGACGATTGCAATTAAAAATCGATTATTGGGGATCCGATTGCGAATACACTGGCTACCAACGTGTTACATTAGCACAGTAATCGCTTGGCTCGAGGCTAGATAAACTCCAGCCCACTGGATATTCTGCTTCGGAGCTGCACCAAGCGGTGCCTGCCTATACGTTGGTGATCGGCTGAGCTTGACAGTTTTGATTGGTCAATTCACTTCAACTTCCCGTTGTCCTATCGTTGCAAGATCTGCTATAATACCGGTATACTTCTCCTGAAGCAACGGAAGATATTTACATTATCACCTGCGTAGTCCCCAATGTATGAATGAACTTGGGAGATATTGCCGCTTGTTTAAGCGAAGAGCGCAGCTCATAAGCGTCCAGAAATTATAGCCGCGACACGCTAGGTCTCTTTTTATTAATATGTTTAACACAATCACCTACAGCGATCGCAGCATCCTGTTCAATCACGGTACATGTACGCTGCTAGCGTTTATTAAAGGTTACGTTAAGCTCATCCTGTATGCTTGGTACCGTTATTCACTACCTCACTGTGTGGGGTCGGCTTGTTCTCAGCTCAACTGTAAGCTTTTTAACACGTTGCTGAATGCAAGGTTGGAAAATTAGCTGCCGCATCTGGGGAAGTGAAGTTTGGTGTCAATGTCACACAGATCATCGCAAGTATCACTTGCGATACACATGAATGTATCTCCTCGGCTGCGTTATTTAACGTCGTAATTCAGTAGCTTGCTGTGGTGATGTTAGTTTCCAGCTTCTGTTGAGCCTTCTCATTATCGCTGTGATAATTTTGGTACCTTAAGGCTCCACTGCAAAGCATGGGAAGGTGGGAAGGTTTTCTTTAGATAGCGCTCTTGTGAAGGCTCGGCTTCCGTCGAGCTATTTATTCTGAGAGCAACATGCACAATCCCTTGGTTGCAGTTCAGACTTCCGTTTTGCGCCGTCACATTGCATTTAGCACCAACCGCCCAGCTCGCTGTCGCTATGACCAAGACAATGCTTCACACGGGTACTCTAACGGATGTGGCAGCCTCGAACTCCATTTTCGAGATCCTGTTCAAGAACATGGAGAGTCATGACAACCCGCAGGAAGAAGAACCCAGTGTCACAAAGGAGAAGGAACCCGAAAAAGACAGTCATCATCAACCACAACAACTTTTCATCCCCGTCAAGCAGCCAACTCTACTCGGAGATCTGCACTTGCTCCAGCAACTCACCCAGCAGCTCCATGCGGCAACTCTGAGTACTGCTAGCAGCAGCAACAACCACGACGATGGCAACGTGTCATCGATGAATGTCGAGACGGAAAAACTTGCCACTTTGTACTGCCGTCGTGCTGCAGCATTGCTAGCGTTCGTCGACTACGACGCTACCTCTTCAGTGCCTCTCGACATTCTAGCGTCCGATTCGTGGGCTATCAACACGGACAACGCGAACCAACCAGCACCAGTGCGGGAAGCAGTTCGACAGGCACTGCAAGACTCGCAAGCTGCTGCTGCGCTTACCTCGAACAACGCAACACTTGCTGAAGCTCACTTACTCTCAGCTTATTGCTCGCGTAGTCTGGGAGAGCTCACGCATGCACGTGCATTTGCTGCGCTTGCAGCAACAGCGTTACCAGAGAGCTCTGCTATCAAGAATTTGGCTGAGCAGCTAGACGTGGAAGCTCGTGCTGAGGTGGCAAACCTTTTGCCAAAGCTGCGTATGTCGTCCGCAACACTGTCGACGCTATTTGATCAAACCGCCGTGAGTCAACACGAAAATGAAGAAAACAATAACGACCAAGACGAACAAAAGGCAACAAAGGTGACGTCGTCGGCTGCACCGACGCCTACCGTCCCAGTAGCGCAAAACTCATTCTGGAGTCAAGTAGCTACACACTTTCAAATTCTCGAAGAAGCAGCCCATTCGACGTGGTTGGGAAAACTGGAGCGTCTTATGCATCAAAACGTCCACCATCGCTGTGCTCAACCTCCCGAGACACTTCAACTAGATGCTGCACTACAGGCTACACTTGCTACGTTGGCTCTACTCCTCCAGAGTAGTGCTGCGTGCTCAGTGCTTGGGCTGAACATGACAGAAGACGCGGCTGCTCGAACACTAGAGAAACTCCAGCAAGCTGCTGCGTCCTCTTCACAAACGGTAGTGCAGAACCGCACTGCCAGAAAATGGATCGTAGAGACCTGGGCCCCTGCAGTGCGTCGCGTAGTGGTATCATCTTCCAAGTCGCCACTCGTCGACTTGTCCAGCGACGTTCTATTGATGCTGTCACGTCTACTACAAGCATCGGGGAGCTGGAGACAGTGCACTGCGATGGCTCACAGCTTGGCGTACGCCGAAATGAGCTACGAGCTAGCAAAGCTCTTCCGTGGGAACTTCACAGACCCGTCAGCATGGACGCGTCTGGAGATGAAGTGTGCTGAAGCTTACGCTGTGGCACAACTACAACGAGCTTCTGGACATACGGAGGCACTGAAAACGTTCCGGGAAACGCTGCAGGCCGCGCTTCAGGTCGGAGACCAGGAGTACGAGCTTCGAACGCGTCTTCATGTAGCGCGAGTGTTGCGACTCAAGAACGAGCCCGATATCGCACACGCCGAGCTAGTCCTGCTGCTAGAGCGCAGTCGAGCTCTGAACGACGTGCACTACGAAGCGATGGCAGAGTACGAGCTGGGCGACCATTTCGTGCGCCAAGAGAACATTGAGGCAGCACAAGAGCATTTCCAAGCAGCTCAAGCGCTGTGCAATCGCACAGGAAACTGCGCAAACTCATGGCGACCGTCGTCTATTCAGCAAGCCATTGCTTTCTACGCACGTTTGAGACCCACGGTTCGTCGTGGAGCCATGCGCTGTAGCGTGTCGAGTCTACTGCACCCAGTTAACGACGGGGACAATGTCGACAATGATGAGACCGAGGCGCAAAATGACGAAGAGAGTGATAACGAAGAAGAGGAAGAGCGCCAACCTCCTAAAAGGCGTCAAGCGTTTTGTCGGAAGGAAACATCGCTACAGCCGCGCTCGTTAATGAGCACGATCCTGAGCACGACCGGGGCCAATGCGCTGTACGGCCCCAAGCCGAAGCGCACGCTGTCTTGGCGCGAGACCGTATTCGCGACGATGTGGTCTGGTGACTGCGATGCTGAAGAAACTACGCTGTAGAAGAAGAAACATTCAAAGAATATCACGGCATTCATATCTTTCTCATGTTGAAGCTGTATTTGGTGGTCCACACAGCCAAAACTAACTCTTTTGCGTCCAAATTAGAATTTTTGCTCACATTTTACTAGTCAAAATTCGTACTCACAAGAGGCCATGAGCCAGTCAGATGATCGGAAATCAGTTTTGCTACCACCGAACACACCTTCAATCGCCTTTATAATTGGTCAAATTAAGCTTGTACAACATCTGCCACAGTCCATACTAGAAGAGGGAGGTCAAACGAGCGGCTCTGAACCACAGACACCCAGACTCGCCGCCCCAAGGCAGAGCAAGAACGACAGAATGGTCATGATGATATTCGTCAAGAACTCGGCGCCCGTTCTCAAGTGCGTACCCACACTGTCTTCTCTAGACGCTCTTCTATCCATCCATGCCGGTTGCACCCTCCACTCCTCTCTATATCGATCACTAGCAGCACCTTTATCCCGTGGTGCTAAACGCCGCATAGGATCGTTACGAGGTCGAGTGAAGCAACCACAACGACCAACATTCTAACGTTATTGCAATTCACTATTCACTTTTGCAGGACCGTCGGCCAGCAGGCCCGCGGCATGGCCACGGAGAAGCAGATTCTGCAGCGTATTACGGCCACGTCCAACATCGCCAAGATCACCAAGTCGATGAAGATGGTGTCGGCCGCCAAGATGCGTGGCGCTGAGAACCGCATGAACGCCGGCCGCCCCTTCACCGCGTGGCTGGACAATGTTAAGGGCGCTCACGACCGTACCGTCGAGACGGACGGTGTGGCCCCGGTCGAGGAGCTTGAGGGTGACAACGTCTTGATTGTCGTCTCGTCGGACCGTGGTCTGTGTGGCGGTATCAACTCGGGTATTGCTAAGACCACCCGCAGACAGATCGCTGGCGTCGAGGACCACTCGCAGGTCTTTGTGATCGGCGACAAGGCTCGCGCTCAACTGCGTCGCGACCTCGGCGACAACATCCGTGGCAACGTCACGGAGACGTACCAGTCGCCCCCGAACTTCACTGTGGCCAGCGCTATCGCTGAGGCCGTGGTGGCCTCGTCTCCGTCCGAGTCGGAGAAGGTGCACGTGTTGTACAACAAGTTCAAGTCGGCTATCTCGTACATGCCGTCCGTGCGCTCGCTGGCCGTGCAGCCGGACTCGGACGCTTTCGACCTGTACGAGCTCGAGCCTGACAACAAGGACGAGCTGCTTGCTGACCTCAAGGAGTTTGAGATCGCCACCGCCATCTTCCAGGGCATGATCGAGAACTCGACCAGTGAGGAGTCGTCCCGTATGGCTGCTATGGAGAACGCCACTACTAACGCTGAAGACCTCATCGGATCGCTCACGCTTGTGTACAACAAGGCTCGTCAGGCCCGTATTACCACGGAGCTGATTGAAATTATCTCGGGTGCCGCTTCTCTGGACGGTTAAGTGTCCGGAACGGAACGGATGCTCGCGCGAACTTGTAGCTAGGAATGCGACGACAAGCGCGAGCAGGAAATCGAGGAATTACGAGCAACAAGAAGCGTGGTGTCTACGGAAATAAACAGCAAAACCATCTCCTCGACTACTATTTACCTAGTCATTTTACCGCGTCAATTGATAAATGTGAGTCGGCACAAGATGTGTACATGTGGTGACGTGGACGTCAAGTGCTGTTCGTGATAAGCAACTGAAATTAGGTAGAATAGTAGATGGGTTTGCTTGAGGCGAGAGAAATCATCTATAGGATAACACAGCGCAGACGTCCGCCTGGAGGCTGACAAAGTGCTTGGTTCCCTTAGTTGCTGGAGAAGTACTCGGTGACTTTGTTCATTACGAGCCGTAGAACGCGGCACCAGACCCTTGTACAGTGCAATGACGCCTTCTCCTCGGCAATTACGACCATCACCCATGCCTTTGCACCTGCCACCAGTACTCCCTTTAGCTTCCTGCGCCATAAGACGGGTCTCAGTGGGGAAATAGCACCGATTATACAGGCCTTCCCACGCTAATATAGTGGCGAGTACTTTGGCGTTGTCGACCCATCCAGCTCGCTCTGTAGTAAGCTTACATTTACTGCCAAGAACATACTCAGCCTCATAGCTCGAAACCAGAAACAGCTTTGGACGCATTGTGATATTGCCTCTGAATTTGCTCACAAATGTTGGATTGAGCGCAGCACTGAACAGTTTAAAATGGATGCACGCCTGCCGAAAAGCAGCGTGACGAACATGCCGTTGGAGCCCGACCATGCGACGAGGCGCCAACTTCAACCCCCACAAACCTGGCGTTTTGTAGGTCGCAACATTTTTGGTCTTGGTGTGGACACGCGCTTCAGACACTACACCTGGCGTTGCCAAACGCCCCCGCATTGCCGTACATGTAGCAAATGACACTATTGAAAATGCTCGGGCTTTTGTCTGGACGTTGCCTTCTGGATGAGGGCTTCGTGCAGCAATTCCATCGTGGTGACGCGGGCGACGAGATTGGAGCTCGTCGCTCTTGAAGATGCCCACACATTTTAGCAAACGGTATTTGACCAATCATCTATCTTGAAACACCAAGCAGAAATATACGTTGCGCATTGCAGTTTTATCCAGATATACTTTCATTTCTCTGAGAATACTGAAATACGTGAATGCAGGTACGAGTGAGCACGCATCAGCTCGTTCATGTAGCTGCTGTTTGTGCTGCATCGAGTACTCCTGAGTTTACCGATATCCAGGATACATGCTAAGCTACTGTGCTGGTGCGGCTGCTCCAGCTAACATGTAAAACGAAATCATACGTAGATTGGTCGGACACTTGTATACGTCGTATACACCAGTACCCTGAGTATTCAAGCACAAGGGACGAGATGGGGTGCGTCGATTCGCCTTGCGGTCGCAACAAAGCACCTGAGCGAACCACCAAGCTCACGCTTCCCCCCACTTCCAATCTCCCTCTCGCGAGCCGAAGCCTTCCTCCTAGCCGTAAACTTGCATCACCATGGCCGACGCTAGCAACCCCAATGATGCCACGGCAGAGCAGCGTGCCAGACTCGTGCGTCGCAACTCGCGCGTTACGGTGGACCAGCTACTGCGTGAGGCCTTCGCGCGTGTGGACACCGACATGGATGGCAAGGTGAACGCCATCGATATCCAGCACGGCTTGCGTGTGGCTGGCGTCAAGCTGTCGGCGGACGACGTGGGAGAGCTCATGAAGCGTCTGGACCCTAAGAACCAGGGTCAGCTCACGTACGACGACTTCCATGCATTGCACGAGGCCCTTATCCTGAAGACGTTCCGCTCGTTCGATAAGAAGAAAAAGGGCTACCTCGTTGACGAAGATCTTCAGAACGGTCTGCAAGCATTGGGCGTCACCGTCACGCTTCAGGAAGCCACCAGTATGATCCAGGAGCTGCATCCGCGTGACGCACACCGCGTACATGAGGCTGACTTCAAGCACCTGTATCTGCTATTGCGTTCCAAAATGGCTTCACCCACGGCGCTTGAGCACTTCCTGTGGGATCCGGATGTCCGTCAGCTCTCCAAGAACTGGTGGAAGGCCAGTGTCGAGGTGGGCGAGGGTGGGTTACGTGTCCCGCTGCCGGCCGACAAGGACGGCCAGGTGAAGAAGGTGTCGCCTGTCATTAAGTTCTTCGGTGGTGCGTTGTCCGGCGTCATTGAGGCTCTAATCCTCACACCGCTAGATGTGGCCAAGACGCGTATGCAGCTGGATAAGACCGGCCAGTACCGCGGTATGATCGACTGTGGCAAGAAGCTCGTCGCTGCTGAAGGGCCCAAGGGTCTTTTCAAGGGTTTTATCCCGTGGACAACACACGGTACGTTTCAGTTAAGTTTCTTTTTACTTAACATGTTATCATGTGGCAGCCAACAGTTATTTGTTTTTCTTTTGTCTTGCAGTCGTGCTGAAGAATGGCACGCGTTTCTACTTCAACGCCATCTTCCGTCGCATGCTGTCGGACCAGAACGGCCAGGTGAGCGGCGGCAATGAGTTCATCGCGGGTGCGCTTGCCGGTGCTACCGAGGCTGTGCTGATTGTGACGCCATTTGAAGTCATCAAGACGCGTCTGCAGGGCCAGGATATCGTCAAGGGCGAGATCCCCAAGTACCGTGGCCCTGTGCACACTGCCGCCACGGTTATCAAGCACGAAGGGCCGTTTGCATTGTGGAAGGGCTTGGCCCCGACTATCGGTCGTCAGGGTCTTAACCAGGCCTGTAGTTTCTGGTCCAACAACTTCATTAAGAAGCACGTGTGGAAGCTTCAGGACGGGGAATCCTTGCCTGCATGGAAGAGCGGTCTTACCGGTATGATCGGTGCCATCCCCGGTCCGTGCATCAACTGCCCCATGGATGTGGTTAAGACGCGTCTCATGGCGCAGGAGGCTGCCGCGGGTGCTGGTGGCAAGTATAGTGGCATGGTGGACGCCATGGTCGTGATTGCCAAGGAGGAAGGCGTCGGTGCGCTGTACAAGGGTCTGGTACCGCGTCTTACTCGTCTATGCCCGTCCTACGGTATCCAGTGGCTCGTGATGGACCAAGTCACCGAGTACTTCTCCAAGAACTAAGAGAAACAAGCGCTTTGTAAGCCTCCAGGCAGACGTCCGCGCTGTGTACGTCCTATGACTGCAGCGATAGATGCTTTATATCGTCGCCTGCACCGGCAGCAAAGCCATACAATACCATACAAACTCTACATGCACTCTTCCTTCTCCTCGTCTACCGGTTACTGTGAAGTACTTTACCGGTATGTAATTGTGTACACCACACCACTCAACTTTTGAAAACCGCGCGCAACCGATTCGTCTTGGCTTGGACGTGCCGCTTCGTCGCCATGCTGAGCCGCGTTGACGACCCGCGTGTGTTCGAGAGCTCCGAGGACGTGATCATTCGACCTTCCAGTCGCCGCTACTCGCGTCATCAACAGCTAAACGGCGGCCAAAATCAGCTCCGCAGCCACAAAGCAGACGAGCAGATTGAGATCGAGGAGGACGAGCAACTGCACCCGCAACATCCGTATCGCATGCGCAAGCGTGTGTTGCAACAGGAATACGAGAGTTTCCGCGATCTAGAGGAGCATGGCGACCAAATATCAGCTCCATCTAGACAGCAGGAGCGTACCAGACCCATGGAGTTCGTTTTCCTGTCTTCAGGCGAGATCAGAGCCCGGGAAGACTGTCCACCAGGCTTAGAACTGCCCAAACTACAACAAAATACCGATACAAAACCGTACAGCAGACTAGAGTACCCAACGAATGATTTTTTCAGCGAAGAGGAAGAAGAAATGGAGTATCAGAACCAGAACAAGACACGGACGCCGTCTAGGCAGCAGGTAGGACGACAGCCTGTAGCTCGACAACATAACGAGCGCTTCACCTCCTCTTCTTCGTCTTCATCACGCTCATCAGAGTCGTCAGTGTCGGAAGATGCAGACGTATCGTCAGACAACGAATCTCTTGCGTCCCAGATGTCAGAGGAGATCGAACAACGGCTAAAGAACCTTCAAGTACAAAGCAGACGACAAGCTTATCGCAATACTAACCGCCACAGTAAAAATCTCGAGCGTTCGGCAAGAAAAAGCGTGAGGAATACGCCAAGACGCTCATTAAAACTGGATCATCTCTGCTCGGAAGATGACGATGTCAGTGCAAGCGAACACTCGACTCATCGCTCCGCTTCAACGCGTTTAGACAAGTCTCCAAGTAGTGACACCACGCGGGAGTCTAGACAACGTCCAGCACCTCTGGAGCAGCTGTCTAAAGCCCCCCATTTGGAAGAGGTCCAGATACCTACTCGTCGAGTCAAGCGATCTCCGAAGATGGAAGTGAGTCATTTGAATTCAAGCGAGAAGGGGAAAGTCGCTGTAAGTACAAGAGAAGAGGAGAAAGTGAGTGATCCGCTGGAATCGGAGCTGCAGAAGGAGAAGAAGCGAGTGCTGGAGAAGATGACGCAGTTGCTGGATGAACAGCGTAAAAACCAGCAGCTACGTGATCGAATCGACGCCCTGGAGACTCAACTCACTGCCAAAGACAATGAAACTAGTAACAAGCTCCAAGAAGTGGAACGGGAACGAGAAACTCAGCTGCAATCTATCGAGAAACAGCAGGCTGATGGTATTAACGCGTTGGAGGAACAAGTTCGTCTTCAAGAGACTTCAATTATTCGCTTGAAACAAGATAAAGAGCAGCTGAAAGCGGCGTTAAAACAGCTGAAGAAGACGACAAGTAACTCGACTACTGAGCAGAATTTGGACGGCAGTGAAGCCACGAACTCGAAGAAAGAACTAGAGGACATGACGCGACTTCTCCAAGAGTTTTTAGCAGTGGTGGAGCGTTGGAAACAGACCACCAAGAAAGAGCTGCAACACTGCGAAGATATGAGCCAATTACCTGCTTTAGTAAAGCAAAAATGGCTTGAGTTCCCACAGCTTCCAGAGGTATCTACACGACCACAGAGGGACATCACAAGCGCTTTATCTGAGCAGCAATTGACACCTGGAACCGAAGAAGCTGACGCTGTTGTCTTCTTGAAAAAGAGACTGCGTCAACGAGAAGAAGAACTGCGACAGACCCATGTCAAGTTCGGCGAGTTAAAGGAAATCTGTGCTCGCCAATGTGTCCGTGAGGCGGACCTGCAAAACTTTATCAACGAACATCGTCTGCGTGGCAACCTCGTTATTCGCAAGAATAGTAGCGACGTTAAGCAGCACGAGGTTAATAACCAAGAACCGGTACAAGAGGAGCTTCCAGATGAACGACGCAATGGTAAACTCAAGATGATTTCGAGTCGAGGAACGAACACCCCGGCGCCTTATGAGGATCAGTTTGTCAATGACGAATACTCCGACAATCAGGGAGATAACGATTATGACAGGGAAGAGGTTGAGTATCCTGTACGAACACCCAAGGTGTACGTCCAAGTAGGTCGCGATGGAGTGTATGACCATGTGTCGTCTACAGACTCAGCAGTGGCTCAGAAGCTCGCAGCTGATCGAAAACAGGGGAAACGGAAGACACAGCAGCGAGTGGAGCGGATTCGATTAGTACCGTCCCCAAGTCTGGCTCAGAGATATGAACGAGTACCCACACCGACTACTACAACGCGTAGGAAGAAAAATACGCAGCACTTATCGCAGTCGTCTTCACGACCTCATGTGCTGGGCGAGTGTCCACCTGGATGTGGCAGTCGTCCTTCCTTCATGAACAGGAAAACAGCAACCCGAGCACAAGTGAAAACAACGAAGAGATCGGTGTCTACATCCACGTCCAGAGGAGCTGTCGGAGTAGTTCGTCCGTGGATGTAAACGGTTAAAATCTTCGTGGTTGATTTTTTTCTTTAACTTTATTTAACGAAAATTTATAAGATAACCCAATCCGGGTCTAAAACCCGGCGTGTCATTTTGACTTTTTTTTTTTTAAATATCACGGCTAATTTCTATATCTGTGGATTAGTTGTATGATGAAGATTTTATTAACCCTTTTGAGGCAAATGGGGCCCTTTCGGCTTGTTTGCGAAACCTGCTTAGAAAGTTGGCACGTTCTAATCAAATGACTACACTTTTAGCACCGTGGTTCACAACCATTGAGCAATCGTGGGCGAACTGGGAGATGGACTGTTGGACCGCTTCAGATATAACAAGATTACTTGCATATTGTAACGGGGTACGTAGCCCTAAGTGTACCCTGGTTACATGAAGTGTGACACTTCACACTTCAGGTGTATGACACGTCATACTCCGGGATATTTGGTACAGGGTACCAAGGTCGTTCAAAGCCAACCATTGGTCAAACGACATTGCATTTCTATAGGTAACTTATAGTTTGTATTAAACCCAAACTTAACCTACCTATAAATAAACTCAGTTTACAATCTACCTTATTTAGGTCACTTCGCTCTCGAGGGGACCTGTGAACTGCCGTTCACTGAGAGTTTGTATACTCTCGGAAGATAACTTCCTCTAGCGCAAGGTGCTGTGTGACCCCGTCACACTTGGTAGCACTTGTAGTCAATCCACGCCACCGCGGGTAGACTACCTGAACCTCTCCGAAGTTCGTTGCCATGGATAGGAACGACTTCTCCTATATGAACGACTCTCAGTTCGAGTCGGTTCCGAGATGGCAGGCATCTTCGGGATGGAGGCCCTGCAGAGCCTGGTGGTGTCAACACCGGCTGAGCAGCTCGAGCGCGTCAATGCATTCGACGCGTACGAGCAGGGCCTCATCGCGCATGTGCGGGAGAACCTGCAAACTCCGGCGGCGAAAGCAAATCCGCCTCACCCGAAGCCAATACGGCTGAAGGCTAAGCCGTATGAAGGGAAGGAAGGCGAGAACCTTCACTTCTGGGTCCGAGAAGTAGAGCTCGCGATGGACGCGGCTCTGATCTCGACCGAGCAGCTGCGTGTTGCTTTTGCACTCTCCAACCTTAGCGGCCGTGGTAAGAGTTGGGTGTACACACGGGAAGCAGCATCCCCTGGATGTTTCACATCCTGGGTCAGCTGTGCGATCAGCTCCGAGCCGCGTTCCTCCCGGCGAACTACGAGTACCGCCAGCGTTCGCGCTTCCTCTCGTGTAAACAAGGAAGGCGCGAACTGCACGAGTATGTGCAAGAGATACGGGAGCTCACGGCGTCACCCACTCAACGAACTCATCAAGATGACTGTGTTCATGGACGGCCTTCGAGTGGGCCCCGCACGCACTCAGCTGTTCCTGGTGCAGTCAAGCACTCTTGAAGAGGCGATTCAAGTGGCTCTTCAAGAAGAGTACAGCCATCGCCAGGCGCGTACGCCGGCCTCAGCATGGCCTGGGAGGTCTTTGTCGGCTCCCGGCCGAACAAGCCTCAACGGACCAGTTCCCATGGAACTCGGGTCCGCCGAACAGCGTGACATCCGCTGCTTCGGCTGCGGGAAGATGGGCCACTTCAAGCGCGACTGTCCTGCGGAAAGACTCCGCAGACGGTCCTTCCCCAAGCCCGTCCTCAAGGGTCGCTGACAGAAGCCAGGATCCCGGGGACAGGGGAACGCTGGGAACCAGTAGGGGCGGGGCGCCCTACTGGGGAAGAACTAAGTCTTCGTGATGGGCGTGCGGGTGGCGCGTACCACGGGGACTTAGCCCCTGAGAGTCTTCGCACTCTCGAATCGGCGAAGAGCAGCGGCGGGTTGCTCGTAGTACACAGATGTGTACGGGAATACGATCATCCCTTTAGAATCTTGATCGATTCTGGGGCGTCGAAGAATTTCGCACGCCGCCAGACGGTTGCTCGCAACAGCAACAAGTTGTCTGATGCTTTGAGAGAAAGCAAGGGCAACGGGACGGTGCCAGTGCGACTGACCGACGGGAAGGTCGTCACTGTCCCAAACGTCCAAGTGGATCTGGCCGTCAAGTTTGAAGACTATGACAGCCTCGAACAGCTCACGGTTCTCGATATGGATCCATATGATATGATCCTGGGCATGCTCTGGCTTGAGAAGCACGAGCCCTGGATCGACTGGCGAGGCAAGGCAATCGGTGGCAGTCGCCCTGCGCAGTCCGACAGAGCATTGGTGAGTCATGTTCCCACCTCTGTCAGGACCCGGGGCGCCCGCAAGGGCTGCCAGGGTACCAAAGCATCCGGCAGGTGCTTGGGAGTCGTCGACGTATATGACGACTCCGAGGATGTTTTGATGGTGGCAGCGCCCAGAAGAGGCGCTGGCCAAGTGGGTAACTTAGGTCCACAGGCGGGTAACTTAGTTCCGCAGACAGCTGCAGCTGACACGAACACTGAGAACAGCGTGTTCAGAGTGGGTAACAGAGTTCCACTCACGGTCGCCCAGACCTTAACTGAAGAGGAAGACGTCGGATACGCTTCCTGTGTGGGTAACACAGTGCCACACGCGGTCGCCCAGACCTTAACTGAAGAGGAAGGCGTTGAACACGCTTCCTGTGTGGGTACCATAGTACCACACGAGGCCACGAGTGCCTCGGATGTCGTAGTGACGACATCCCTAGACGTGGGCAGCAAAGCTCCCCGTCACAGTCGCCGTCGTCAACGACGCCGCCGCTGCCTCAAGTCGGATCCGAACTTCGTTCCGATCGACGTCGCTTCAAGCGACTCGGAGGCCAGGGCCCGGGCTCCTCCTACAAGGCCGGTGGAAGAGTGTTATCACATCTTCGATGGCGAGATCGGTTTACCCGTCAAGGCATCTGGTGTCCACTTGGAACCGTTGCCAGAGGTTGCAGAGATACTGCACCTCAAGGAAATGACGGCTGAGTCTTTCCTGACCAACCTCAAGGCTGAAGAGATTGCGGAGATGGTCCTCATGAGATCTGAGACCACTCGGGAGGAGCTGAACTCCTCCTCTGTTTTGGACGAGAACGTCCTGGAAGACCTGAACAAGCAGCGTCAGGCGCGCTTGGGTTCTGAGATTCTTAAGGACCCCAAGGATCCGGTGTATCCTTTGGTGAAGGAGTATGTGGACGTGGTGAACAAACACCCACCGACCCAACTCCCACCGGATCGAGGCGTACAGCACGAGATTGATCTCGTGCCCGGCACAAAGTATTGTGTCACGAGGTAATGGCCTCTCCCGCGCGAACAGTGCGAGGTCATTGATGCCTTCTTCGCCGCGAAAGCGAAAGCAGGCATGGTGCGGGAGTCGTAATCCCCGCACTCGACGCCGAGTTTCTGCGTTCGTAAGCCGAACGGAAAGTGGCGTCTGGCTCACGCTTATAACAAGCTGAACAACGCAACGGTGCCGGCCCAAACACCACTCCCACGAAAGGATGTGTTGTTGAACAACATGGCCGGGAGCGTACTGTACACTGCGCTCGATTTGGTAGACGGATACTACCAAATCCTGATGCGAGAGAGCGACATCCCGCTCACCGCGGTAAGCACTCCAAGGGGCATGCTTTGGGAGTGGCTCGTCATGCCGCAGGGCCTGTCTAACGCCCCGGCGACGTTCAATCGCCTGGTGACGCAATTGTTCCGCCCTTTGCGTACCTTCGTAAAGACGTACTTCGACGGCATATTCGTCCATAGCCGTGCCGAAGGAGGCAAGACGGCCATGGAGGTGCACCTAGGACACCTCCGTCGAGTGTTGGACGTAATGCAAGCGAACAAGCTCTACGCCAATATCGACAAGTGCGTTTTCGCGTCACCAAAGATTAAAGCTCTCGGTTGCTTCGTAAGCAACGTGGGCGTTCGGGCTGACCCAGACAAGGTCGAGGCCATAGCAGCATGGCCGACCCCAGAAGGATCTTCGAAAGTGGTTGGGCTTGGCCAACTACCTTCACAAGTACAGCGCAGGGTACGCGGGCTTTGCTAAGCCCTTGTCGAGCCTCCTTCAGAAGGACGTCGACTGGACCTGGGAGCAGGAGCACCAGGATGCTTTTGACAGCATCAAGGCCAGTCTCCAAGAGGCATCTGTCCTGGCCCTGCCGGACGAGACAAAGCCGTTTAGCGTCGTCTGCGATGCCTCCGATTACGCCATCGGATGTGCATTGCTGCAGGCCGACACGGCTGGACACGAACGAGTCATCTCGTTCCAGTCCAGGCAACTCAAAGCCGCCGAGCGGAACTACCCTGTCCACGACAAGGAGCCCCTGGCAATGAAATATGCCCTTGTGAAGTTCCGTGTTCACCTTCTGGGCTCTAGGCCCTTTGTGATCTACACAGACCACGCGTCCTTGAGGACGGCGACTAACTCGCCTCACCTCTCCCAAAGGATGGCGAGGTGGCTGTCTTTCTTCGCGGAATATAACTTCCGCGTCGAATACAAGCCGGGCAAGCTCAACGTGCTTGCGGACGCCCTCTCTCGGCGTCCTGACTATGAGTTGGCCCACATCACGCGGGTGACAACGGATCTATATGATCGGATACGCATGGCGTATCGGGACGATGAGGCTGTCGCGCCTATCGTCAAGTTCCTTATGGCCGGAACGAGCGCGAAGTCCGACTGGCTCTCGTCGCGACAGCGCTCACGGCTCCACCGATATGAGTTTAAAGAGGGTCTCCTCTATTACCGGGTGGAGCCCACTGATCCTCCACGGGTGGTCGTACCCAACGACGAGGATCTGAAGTTCGATATCCTCGCGGAGGCGCATGACGCGCCCTCCAGCGGCCACTTGGGCCGCGAGAAGACCTTTCTGTCGGTCTCTCAGTCCTTCTGGTGGATCCACATGTACAAGTGGGTCGCCCGGTACGTTAAGACATGCGAAACGTGCCAGCGGGTCAAACCTGCAGGGCTCCACTACAGAGCCTGCCCGTAACTGTTGGAAGTCGATGAGTCTTGACTTCATCTTTGGGCTTCCCGCCGACGGACACGGC